GTGGACTTATCACAAAGTGACCCTGATGTCTATGTTCTTCCTTCCATGCTGCCTCTAGCTTCCGTTTGTGTAACATTGATGTGTCTGGCTGTTCCCTGCCTAAACAATGTGACATTGAAATTAACATCGTTGTGGGCGTGAAGTTAGAAGTTTATCACTGCCACTCTACCAGGTATAATATTCGAAGCCCGCAGCACAAATCTACCAATTTTGCATGATCTAAGTTTTCCAAGACTTGATGATTTATGTTTACATGCCTCTAGATGACTATGTATTCCAGCTTGCATTGCATATTATAATGTTCCCGTGCAAATAAAAATGTGTGTTTTCATTTACAATTTTCAAATTCAGCTGAGATCAATCTTATCTACAGGACAAAGGCTATTCTTTGTCAGCCTATAATAGAATATCTACAGTTTGTTCTTTTTTGCTCATGTAGTGTTGAGTTTGTACAAATAACTCTTTAAAAACGATTGAGTCAGAATGTAGTCATGTCTTTGTTCCTCCTTTCATGCTACGGGTAGCTTCGGTTAATGTAGTAACATCGATCTGTCTGTTCGCTGACTAAGAGTGTCGGCCCCAGACTCCCAGTTAACCAAGAATCTAGCACTTATCACTTACCAGTGCTGCCTTCTCTCGATATGACGCTACCCCTTGTTATCACTAGTTCGCTACGTATTGGGGCACACATGTTTCCAGAACTAATCTAGTATTTTAACCTTGCTTCAATTTGAGACTCTAAATCAGCTTAGTTATGTTTCTGATTGAATTTAAATACTCCCTCCAATCTACTAAAGTTGTACTAAGAGAGCGTCAATTAATTTGTATCAGAGAGAGTAGTATAATTTAAGCTTTGTGCATGACAATCAATCTGTTTTTAATTTCTTTCAAAAGAATCTGTTTTTTAGTTAGTAGGCTATGTAGGTAACTGAATTGTATCATGCGTGGGTTTTCAATTTGTAATAATTTAAGCCATGAGTTGCAGCAGAGAGCACAGGAAAGTGTCATCAACATTACTATATCGTATCTGTTACTACTGGGAATACAAGATAGTTAAAGAGGAGGAGCTCAATTAGTATTATCCTTTTGGTTTCATGAATCCCTGTTGCAGGGTCGATACGGTGAACCGTTGGTTTCTCTAGCTACTAGTGAGATCTTTTGAAAATCAACCATTGGTTGTATGCTTAGAAGGGTAGCTGTATCTCCAAGATCAATCAGCTTCACGCCTCTCGGTTTGCCGAGTCCCTTGCCTCTCAATCTTGCTAAGTTATTGTTGTTCCCCAAGAGCATGGCTAGGATTTGGGCAATGTGGTAAGGGAGGTAAAATTTGCAGCTTTTGTGGTTATGCTAGTTAATATATGGCCTTTGGTACCCCGCAAAAAAAATGTCTTTTGGTATTTTTCACGAGGGGGTGGGGTGGGGGGGGGAGGCGAATCATTCATGAGCATACTTAACAAAGGCACAAACAATTACTCTCCACCCCTGGTCTCACATCTCTTCGTAAAATAATCATCTTAGTGTTATAACTGATGTGTATCTATCTAAATGCTTTTATGTAATCCTTGTATGGTTATTTTTGGGAGATGTTGTTTTTCCAGCTGTCCCTGAATTGTGCAACTTAGGTAATTGTTTTTCGAAGTGGAGTACACCAAAATTCCATTTTGAGACTTTGGTTTTAGGTTGTGTTAGGCACTGCGGTGATTATTAGAATCTCATTTGCCCCATCCGCTTTTACCTACTTTAGTGTTTGTGTGGTCTGATTTTGAAGTTTATTGTTTTTTGAAGTATGTCACATGGCAGTTTTACATTAAGAGATGACATTTTTATATTCAAAGAGATGACACTTTTGTACTAAGAGATGGCATTTTTTATCATTAAGAGATGGCAATATTTAATTGAGAGATAACAATTTTATAGTTAGAGATGGCATTTTTATATTTTAAAGAGATGGCAGTTTTGTATTAAGAGATGGCATATTTTATTATTAAGAGATAGCATTTGTATATCTTTAAGAGATGGCAGTTTTGTATTAAGAGATGGCATATTTTATTATTAAGAGATGTCATTTGAAATTATTAAGAGACTGCATTTTTTTATTTTTAAGAGATGGCATTTTTGTAATTAAGAGATTGCATTTCAATTAAGAGATGGAATTTTTTATTTAAAGAGGTGGCATATTTTATTACTATGATTTGTCATTTTTTAATTAAGATATGGCATTTGAAATTATTAAGAGACGATATTTTTAATTTTTAAGACATGGCATTTTTAAATTAATAGATGACATTTTTTAATTAATAGATGGAATTTTTTATTTAAATTCGGCACTTTAAACGACAGCGAATGCGCCCGGGCACGACCGCGGACACTAACTGGTCAAGCCTCAAATTTGCCTTCTCACAACTGGACACCTCAATTATCATATCTCAAATTCATACAAACTCATGCAACTACGTCGATGCATTACACACATCGTCCGGCTACTCCATCATTACTAACATGTCACCCAGGTCACCCGACTACCAAAATTTGGCATGTTTGGCTATGGTGGAGATCATCCACGGCTGTACTTGCCCTTCCTAGCGTCCTTGTTGTATTTCTCGCGGAACTACCGGTCGAAGATGTGGTAGGAATCGAGCCGGAGCTGTCCTTGCCGTCGCTGTCCTCCTTCTCCTCCTTAAGTGGTAGTCTGGCAATGACACAGACCGCCTGATTCTGCTTTCGGGCGAGGGCGAGCGTGTTCCTCCACTGTCGTTTCTTCATAATGCGAGCGTGGATGGCGTCCTTCTCTAGGCCGCCTGCGCCGCCGCATCAACCGCCATTTCCGCCGCGAAACGGGCCTCCGTGGCCCTTATCCTCTCCTTCCCACGGCGGGCTGCCCGTTCCTGGTGAGACTCATAGTCCGCCCGACCGGTGATGGGGAAGGAGAGATTTTCCGTTTGCCGGGACCATGATGATCCAGCCCAAGAGGACCCGAGTGCCCGTTGAGCTAACGTTATAGGGTCATGTCGGACAGATCCTTCCGTTGGCTGGGCGTTGTCCTCCCGGGAGCAGCGGAGTGCAATGCGGACCGCCATTGCCTCCTACAACCCGCACGGGATGACACCCCAGTTGACGTATCCGGACTAGTCGGAGTCAGATCCGATGCCCACCATGCCGGAGATGGCCGGAAATCACCAGAGGTGAGCTCCGGTGGCTGAGGGAGTGGAGGGGAGAGGAGTGTGATGTCCCTAGGGTTTGGCCCGTCGAGCGGACGGGGATGAATATATGTGGGGTCAGGTGGGCCAGGCGCGCCCGGGCACCCCCCATATCCGCCCCATATTTGCGCTGGATATGTGGGGTGCCGGTCAGCCCGGGCTTTTGAGGCCCGTTTGAGGCGTCCGTCTGGGTAAAAATTTCATGACCGGTCAGTGACCGGGTGGGCCGTCCATACGTTTGAGGACGGTTTGGGATGCCCGGCTGTAGATGCTCTTACAGAAACTGACTGGGCGACGCCTATTTCAACGACATGAGAAAATTAAGAGTCCCCCTAGCCCCACTCCACCCAAGAAAGGCAAGAAAGCTTTATCGTACTGTCGTTCTGAGGTTCTTGGCAGTCAGCTCCTCCACACCTTGACCTTCCCTACCCTACCTCACTCGAGGTTGACAGGGAAATGGCCTCGCCGTTGATGACAACCCCTGACCACCTGCAAGCAAAGACATTCATCTAACTACTTGCCCTCCCCACCTCACTTGAGGTTGGTAGGGAAATGGTCTCATCGTTGATGGCAATCCCAGACCACCTCCAAGCAAAGATATTCGTCTGACTACTCGCCATCCCCACCTCACTCGAGGCCAGCATGGAAATGGCCTCGTCGCTAATGGCAACCTCCAGACCACCTCCAACCAAAGATCTTTGTCCGGGTATTCGCCGCCCCCAATGTCACTCAAGGTCAATCAACTTAGAGTAGATGCCCGTTTGAGTTTTGTTACAAGACATATTTACCTTTATGAAAGACAAACAAGTTCATTATATATGATGGACAAATATTTTGACTAGGCGAAACTTATTTCATCTATATACAAAGTAAAGAAAAAATATCTATCATACACTCAACTATGTTTACAAAGCACAGCCGGACTTGCCAATACAAAACTGAATCTATTTTTTTGAGCTCATACAAATCTGAATCTAAATGCTCTCCAAATTGGCACTCTAGCAGTTTGAACAAAACAAAAAATGGCATGAAGGACGGCCCCGTATGGGCCCAGAGATGGCCCGCTACGCATTCTTGCCGTTCTAAGTCCCAGAGATCCAGATGGCAGCACAAAAAATCGCTCAACTGAACTCCAGCAGCACACAACACTCCCGATCCCATCTGGTCTAGCCGTCGTCGTCGTCGAGGGTTTCCGGCGGCCGGCTCCCCCGCCGGCCGGCTCTCCCCTCGCCCGGCCTCCTCTTCCCAATGGAGACCAGCCAGAAAACTTTGCCGGACATCCTCGGCGACCTCTTGGAGAAGATATTCCTCTGGCTGCCCACCCCAGAAGACCTCGCCCACACCTCCGCCGTCTGCGTCACGTTCCGCGGAGTCGTCACCGACGGCTCCTTCCTCCGCAGCTTCCGCCGCCTCCATGCAGCACTAGTCCTCGGCTTCTTCGCGCATAGCCAGTTCCATCCCGCTCCGCCGCCTCACCCCTCCGCGCCTGCCGCCCGTGCGCTCGCCCTAGCCGCTGACTTCAGCTTCTCCTTCCTCCCCTCCTACTGCAGATGGGGCGTCCGCGACAGCCGCGACGGCCGCGTCCTTCTCGCTCGCAAGCCCGAAAAGGACGAGGAGCCCCCGATCTTCACCGAGCTCGTGGTGTGCGACCCCTTGCACCGGAGGTACATCCTGCTCCCCCCAGTGCCCGAAGATCTAGTGGCATCGGTGGAGAACTCGGTCAACAATTTTTTCGGGCGCTTTTGTGTGCCCTTCCTCATTCCACCCAACAAGGCTGAAGAGACTGACTTCAGAGTGATCTGGATGGCACGTTGTGGAATTAATCTGGCCGTCCTCGTCTTCTCTTCGAGCACCGGGGAATGGCGTGCCGCCTCATCGTCCCAGGACTGGAGGGATATAGTCGTTGTCAGTGACCCTTTCTGTTTTCTGAGGCCTCATTTCGCAGGTGGCTGCATCTACTGGGACTCGCCGTTAAACCAGAACAAGTTGCTCGTGCTTGACACTAAGACTATGGAGTTCTCCATTGCAGATTTCCCACCTGGAGAATGGGACGAAAAATTAGCTATTGTCGATGCAGGGGAAGGCAGGTTTGGAATGTTTGGCATCCATGATGGAGATGAAGGTGGTGAATCTGTTCTTAGTTATATGGTTGGGCAAAACGAAGGTGAGAGTTCTGGCCAGCTGAAGAAAGTCTCACTAGGTTATGGGCATCAGTATTATTTCACAGACTATGCAACGCAGAATTACTTGATCCTATTAAGGGCTGAAGCTAGCCCGTACGAAGTCTTATCACGGACCCCATCAAAGATAGAATTTTTCTCACTGGATGTCAAGACAGCGCAGCTTGAGAGGATGTTTATTGAACCTTCCAAGTTTGGTTGTTCTCGAGCGCACATATATACCAACTTCCCGCCATCATTATTGTCTTCACCAACAGTATGAACTGGTAAGCTTTCTATTGCATCCTAGTTATATTATATCATTCCCTTCATGGTTATCTCCCAGCTTGTTCATTACTGCAGTTGATTGTTTGTCTAGTGGTTATTTATATTGTACTTGTGGAGAAGCTAATCAAGCACCGGTACCTAATTGTGATTCGTTGTTGTGTTTGTTTGTTCAAATTGCTGTGCTTTTTTAGAAGTAAATTGTTATGTTTTCAGAGACTCAGACAAGAGAAAAGATCTTTGGCATAGCTTACGCATCCACTATAACATTAATTAGGCCTTATGAAATCAACAATTATTTTCGAGGAATATTGTGTGGTCAAGGTGTAGAAGGATTGATAGTTGCAGTTTACCTTTCAACTGTTTCACTCACCTCACGAAAATGCATGCCATTCAAGCACATCTCATCTTGTTGCCTTTTTTATAAATAGAAGAAGTGTTCATGTGCACATCTATGATATTATCTTTGATACTGTTTCGTTATAAATATGCTTAACTGCTATGGTCTGTATGGCAGCTTGATTCGAATCCGCCTCACAACATCCGTTATAGGTGGGGCACTGTTTCTTTTTCTTCCTTTTAGATAATAGTTTGAACATTTCACCTGCGTATTTCGGAGTCTTCCCTGCATATGCATGCCAAATATGTAAACATTAATCTCTATGTCGCGTGGCGGTTCACATGCCAAAAAATTGCTGCAGCCGTCAAATATGGGGCCTCCCCACGAACTTTCCAGTAATGTCTCCTTGTCTTCTCCCATCTCCATGAGAATTTCCGTGTCCGCCTTATCTCCCCAGTATCCACGCCAGCAACCACAGCTAGCAATAACTCCAGCAACAATTGTCTCATGGTGCCGCCACGGCAACTACGATAACAAGGACTATGACACAAGGCGGAAAAGAAAACAAGGAAAAGCAGAATGACAATGATTGGTCCGATTGAGCCCGGGCCGCCGACGCCCCGGCCTGACACGGTGGAGACAAGTCAGGCGAGACGAGCCAGAGACGATGCGGCTGACTGCGAGCCGCGAGCCATGAAGAAACTAGCGGTGGGGT